CATGGCTGGCTGGGGAATTCTGGAAGTTGAAGTCCACATATCAAAAAGTTCCCAAGGTTGGGAAACACTGCATTACACAATGTCCATCAAAAGTTCCTTGATTCTGGGATTTGTAAGGCACTTACAAATTCTGGTTGGATCCATTCAATGCTTTCTAAGGCAATGCTTCAAGCCAGAGCAGAGCTGAGGGTTTAAGGAGGGTTTAAGACCAATGCTCAGTCATCGGATCTGCTATCAGAGTTATAAGTATTAGCATTCTCATGGCCACTTGCAACAGAACAAGGCAATTGAAGTGACAGGGCATGCCGTGCACTTTAAGAACCACCACGTTCGGCTTCCACATATCAGTGGCGCAGCACAACGTCCACATTTTATAAGTGGCATTTTCAGTTCAATTTTTCACATACCCCAGGAAGAGAAGACCTACCCTGAGGACCACTGACCTTCATAACCAACAGATTCAAACTAGAAGAATCACAGGTTTCTCTTGACGAGCCATTTCTTTTTCCTTTCCTTGTTCTTTTGCTTAGATTTGTCAGCGTTCGAGTACCTTTTCTAACATAAAGACAGGATTGGCAGAACAGGCAATTTATCTGCTCCATTTTTTAAAATGATGCTTGCATGCCACCACATGTGGAAGAACTCATGGTGGTCGAGAATATGTAGTAATAGTATATAATGTTCTGTTACATGGAAAGCTGGATGAAAGCAGATCAGATTTCTTCAAAAAGTACAGTGCTTGATACAAAATGTTGTGTTGCTTGAGATGAAGGATAAGAAGTTGCCTCTCCCTGATCTTTTTCTACAAGCTGATAAGTTATAACTTACTCCAAGCTTTTGGCCCTCTAAGAGCTTGCCATGACTTGTATCTGCTGCTGAGACCAAGTGCTCTGTTGTAACTACTAGTAGAGCCAGCCCTGAATCTATAGACTAGAAAACCTTCTTGATTGCTCAGATATTTTTTTTAATTACTCCTTTAGGTAATAATAAATGTTCTTGAAGCAAATGATGAACCACCAAACTGCACACCTTCTTCACAGTTGCTGAATATGCCAGTGGATCTAAGTTTGGGCATTATTAATGGTTTCAGTATTTCTTGTGTGGATCGGGATTCAAGTCCGAGATCATTCCGATATACTATTACATCAGGTATTTTATACTTCATCTTTGAATATCTTATTGTGATGGAATGCTTCGATGAAGGCCGCGCTTGGGGAGATAAGCATTGCCTTAGTCCCCAGCAGGAGAGTGGGAAGGTTAAGAGGATAAGACTGGCACCACCCTAAGGAATTTGCGGGGTTTTGTTTGCTGGCTTGAGGAGTTTAGATTCAGTCTGGCAGGATTCTGTCTGTGGTTGGAAGCTAATAAAAGCTATTGAACTAGACCTGTACTGTCTCGTGGAGTTCTTTGGGCTGAACCTGACACTTATGTCATTAGTTGCTGGTAGAATATATATTATAATACATGTTATTTGGGTTTTAGAATTGGTGGCTACTTGTAATGGTCTGTGGGAATGGCCTTGGGAGACAGGAGGAAGAGCTGCAGACTAGACAATGGTCAGACAAGCAGCAGCTGAACCCACAGAAGGAATGGGGACGTGGCAGAAGGGACCCTCCCTAGTTTCCTGGGCTGTAAAGCCAAGGGGGAAGAGCTGTACTTTCAGACTTGCAAGATTCTGTTAGTTTACCCTTACAATAAAGTTAGAGCTAGTACTTCTGGGTGTGCTTCTTGTCTGGACTACCTCGCAAGGCTTAGTACTTCTGGGTGTGCTTCTTGTCTGGACTACCTCGCAAGGCTTAGTACTTCTGGGTGTGCTTCTTGTCTGGACTACCTCGCAAGGCTGACCCTACTAAAGCTCTGGACAAATGCTAGTTGTAGTTGATCTAGCTTCCATGGGATCACAAGGAAATCGTTTCCCCCTGAATGATTGCTAACGGCAGGCAAGTTTTCCTTCATCAGCCTTTTCATGATCCAGCCACTGAATCAAGTTGGACTCCTTTAAAAGGTCACTTGTAGTTTCTTTACGGGAGTATCAATACCAAAAGGAATACTTTCAGTGCCGTGGGGTTACGGTACAATCTGAGCTTAGTTTGCCAGTTGGCTTGAATGATAACGCAAGGCTTTCCTGTTCATACTTGCCAAGAATTACTTTGCATGCAATTGAAAAATGGTTTGCTACCATCTTTTCAACCTGCAAGAAGCTGTAAAAGCTATTGATGCTTTGGCAGGTATAGTACATGCGTGATGAACTTAATTGCAAAAATACATTTGTCATGTATATTCCTCCTCTTTATATGTATGCATAGGATTTTTAAAGTGGTGTCGAAGTCCTTTTTTTAACAGAGGAGTTTAACTTGTTTAATGTTTAACATTTTTGATAGGGAGTGGGGGCTACACTTTGAGGATGCAGAGGGGGTTGACGTTAGAACTTTTTCTGGTTAGGGTTTTTTTTAAAATATGTTAAGTTTATTTACAGGCCTTAATACAACTTCGCTGTGCTTCCCATCACAGCATTGCAGGATATTATGCCATTAATGTTTAGCAACTGAGATCAGATGACTTTGGAGGCTCCATAAGGCTCTGGGCAGGGGTGCTGTCTGGCTGCGTTGGCCTGGTTCATGTGAAGCAGCTGTTTAAAAAGTTAGTTTAATAACATTTAACAGCTGGAGGGGGGTGAGTTGGAAAGATCAGCTTGAGAATATATCCGTTCCCAGGAGGTAGAGAAACTCTTCCAGTTTCTAATTGACCATAAACTGTTCTCGCATACTTATACAATTGGGAGGAAAACTCTGGCTTTAAGATTTCTGTGAGATACAGTAATCACAATGTTAATTGGTTCATATCACAGAGCCACTCCCTTCCAGTGAATTAAATCACCAGCTGTCTTTATTTTATTTTTTTGTTAATATAGTTTTCTCTGCATTTTGTCTTTGGCTCTGCTTTTAGGTAATGTGAATAACCATTTCACCTTTTCTCCAAACGCTGGCTCGAACATCTCACGGCTGGTATTTGCCACCCCATTTGATTATAAGACAGGACTGGATAGAGTTTGGGAATACCACCTGTTGGTTTCTGTAACGGATGATAATCTGTTATCGAGCACCGAAAGAGCTGCAGTCCACATTCGAACTGGCACAGTAACCTTGACCATCAGAGTCATTCCAGACCCCACCACTGTGATTCCTACAACAGTAAGTTTGCTCAGTTGCCAGGGTCACCTCCCAAGTACGTCAAAAAAAGTCAAGATGGTGCCACAATGGCACAATCAAAGCTCCGCCTGGTGCACCCATAAAAACCAGACGGAGCTTCAACTGCACCATTGTGGCCACCATTTATCTCTTTTTGACCAGACCCCTGCAACCTGCTGATTATTACAAACAGATGGATGACTGTGGGGGGGGTGTTGACATTGATTATTTATTTATTTATTCCAGCATGCAGCATATATGACTGCCCATCTCACAGCAGGATCTTTGATCCAATATTCAATAGAAAGCCAGTTTTTAAACTGAAAGAAGTTGTGTATCCCTGAAATACAGAGTCCCTGGACATTTGTACCATGCATCGGAGTCTTGATTGATTGATTGATTGATTCATTAATTCATTAATTCATTCAATTTATATGGCCATCCATCTCAAGTACATGACTCTGGGCAGCTCATCACATTAAAAACAAATAAAAAACATCACCAATACTAAATAAAACAAGAAATAAAACACACAGCAGCCGGAGAATCATAAAAAGCCCTCAACTTAGCCAAGAAACAGAGTCAGGCACAGAACTGTTACTTAGTCATATCTGACAGCCCTTCAAGGTCGACTGGGTCATGAAACAGACACCACAAGAAGTATTAGAATTCTACTCTATTGATATAATAACAGATCTTGAAAGCCTGACCGTGTTTCGCCTTCCCTCCCTGTTATACCAAAGAGATTCAAGGTGGGGCAATCTTGAGTTTCTTTTTCATACCTGCCTGTTTTTCTGGGCTAAGTTCACGTTTTCCTAACAGCTGCCACTTTTTGTCTTCAAGGCCACCTCCATCCTGTGAAATGTATTTACATGGAAATGCATAAGATTCCAACTTAATGCAGCAAGGCAACTTTTCTATAGTCAAATGGTACTCTGTATCTGTTCCATTTTGGCTTTGAATATAATTATTTTATACAGCATCAGCTCTGCCCAGGATAGGCAGAAGATAGCAACCAAGTGTGAATAACATGAGTACATTTTATACAATTACAGTTTAGATAACAGCATCATGGCATTTACAGGTTTATGAATCCCACATGAAAAAGGTATAACTCAAAAGAAATTCCACAAAATCACACATAAGCACACCCAAACCTTGTCAAACCTTGTGAGAATGCTGAATGTTTCATAGTAGTGTGAGAGATCAGACAATATTTTGGCAATTTTGTGGTTGCTGCTGCTGCCTCTTGAGTCCCCAAATAGTTGGTTAAGTCAAATATACAAATATGTTAATAGCATATACTGAGCATATGATGGTAAGGAAGAACAAAGCTAGAGGTGTGGATGTCAGGACAAATATTCAAGTAAGCTGAATTACTTAAGAAGTGTGTGGTAAGACTAGAAGATATAGGGTCAAGAATGAATGGGCACCAAATGAATATGTACTGAATACAAAAGTGGGTGACCAGGGTAAAATAAGTACGTTGAGGTGGTTTGGTCATACAGAGGAAGTAGGAGGATCAAATTGCAAAGCAAATGCTATATATAAAAGAGTTGAGAAGAAGGGGAAGACGAAGATATTTACGATTGGATGGAGTTGGCAAGATCGTTGGAAAGAAAGAGACAATAATTTAAAGAACAGAAGGCAATGTATGAAGCAGGGAATGGATAAGGGGAAAGCAAGGATAATTTGTAAAATTAAAAAGATAGGTAGAGGTATGTTGTATGGCAGGGTTCCTCAACCTTGGCAACTTTAAGATGGGTGGACTTCAACTCCCAGAATTC